TGCTGGTTGCGTCCCCAGAGCAGCGAAATCAACAGACAGGATGCCGGGGTTAGTCCCTGCTATTCACGTCGCTGCTGGAGAACGTCAGGCAGTCATTCCCATATTTGCATAATCATCATTGAGCTGCTCCTTCTGACAGTAATTAGCCAATAGTTTCCGTTGCACAAGCCTGCTCCTCATTACAGACCCCAAAATGTCACGGAGAAATGTCTGGCTCCTGTCCCACGGACGTGGAGACAGGGTTCCCCCAGAAGGCAGGAGCATTGTCTGGAGGGGGCCGGGGTGGTGGGGAGAGAGGGGCTCTGTTTCAGAACACGTCAGTATCGACATGACCTGGGAGCAGAGGAGCTTTCTAATCATGACATCGATTCAAATCATAAGGGACAATATAAATTTTGGTATAAAAAACAAACAAGTTTTTAGATGACAAAAGGCATTAACAATACGCATCCTTTGGCTCGAAGAGCTTTCGAAAAATTCTTCAGGAAATTAATGATGCATTAGACAATTTAGCTATAAGCATGGCCACTGACCTTTTTAGAAAAATGATTGCATGCAACTGGAAACACTCTAAATATCCAGTAACAAGGAGATGAATGAATAAATGAGAACATCCATGTAATAGAATAAGACAATACTATCAAGCAATTAATAATAATGGCTGTGTCTTGACATGGAAAAGCTCTTTGCCATATACTGGGAAGGAGGCACAGAAGGTTCCAGAACAGGATGGGTGATGAGAGCCAATTCCGGTAATAAAAGCGGAAGCCCCCTCACACGTGACTGAGGGAGCTATACCCGAGTTGTTAAGAGGGTATTATAGGAGCTATTATGGATTCTTTATCATCTTCCTTATTCTTAACTGCCTTTTCAAAAGTCTCCTCCATGAACTATCTTAACTTTATAATAAGGATAAGAAGATACAAGTCATTAAAAAGAAGAATTTCATCTGTCACCAGCCCACTGATGTCCATTTTGATTTGGCTAAGAGCACAATGTGACGGGCTTTTTAACAAGTCTTAATAACTCGGGCTTTTTCGTGAGAGTATTCACTCTGATGCCTGGACACCTCCTGTCTTTAGCGTTGCCGGCTTCTCAGAGATCAAGGCGCCTTTCACAGACTTTACTGTTCCCTGGTGTGATGAAAGCGTCCCTAGCGGGGGGCCAGCACTGCCAACGTGGGGCCGAGACGAGACACGCCTTGCATCATGGGAGACGGGATGCCAGCCAGGACGGGAATTAGTTAGAAGTTCCTAAGTTCTGTGGGGGCTGGGGGTGGGGAGGAGGTGTCCTGCTTTGAGGGCGAGGGAGCCTGCCCTCAGGGAAGAGGCCACGTGCCTGTCAAGGCTCCCAGTGCCTAGTGAGTCACTTGAGACGAAAGTAGGGTTTTTGGGGTGGGGTCACAGAGCATCTGGGAATGCAATATTGATAGAGATTCACCAAGTGGTGGCGGGGAGAGGCAGAGAAAGGAGGAGGAGGGGAAGGGAGGAGGGGGAGGAGGAGAGAGGGGAGGAAGCGGACGGGGCAGAACACCAGACAGCGGGGAGCAGATGAGAGAGACAGAGAGGCAGTGATGGGGTGGGTGCCAGGGAGAGGGAGGCAGAGACACAGAGAGGGAGATGAGGAAGGGACAGACAGAGCAAAGGCTATACCAAGGGAGGCAGGCACAAACAGAGAGGGACACAGAGAGAAAGCTACACGGGCACACACAGAGTCACACACACAGACAGGGGCACGTGCCACGAGCTGCATGGTGGCAGAACTCAAGGCAGTGGTTCTGACGGGATGGACACCCTCCGGGGCAGGACGGCTGGGACAGCATCTTATGTGCACCTCTGTCATCTGAACTCAGAGCGCTCCTTGAGATGAAGGGTTCCCTCCCTCTTCCCATGCCTGCTCCCCAAAGCATCACTAAGACAACAATAACAGGACCGCTCACAAGGTCACCGTGCCTTTTGGAGAATTTTGGGCCGCCAAGCGCGGGTCGTCAGAGACCTGGGTCCCAGCCTGGCTGGCCCCACCCTGCCGCCCTCCTCACCCCCTGCACACACAGCCCCTCAGGGACAGCGCTTCTCAGTGTGTCGGATCAAGGGCGGCAAGTAATTAACAGACCTCTTCTCCCAAAAGGCTCCTGTGACAATGGCTCAACCTGTCAGCGACACGGCTGTCCGTGCCTGGGATGAGCTCAGAACCAGCAGCAGGGGGGCCCGGTCAGTGCCAGGCTGAGAAACGGGGGGCACTTCTGGGCCACTGTGTGGCCCCAGCAGGAAGGGATGTGTGTGAGGAGTCTGGCCAGAGAGAGAAGTGTGTGAGAGAGACACACACACACACACACACACACACACACACACAC